CCACCCCCAGGACAGAAATAATTTACCAAAGAGTAAATATTTTTTTCTCATAATATCTCCAACTTTAAAGCACTTAGATAAAATTTCCCTGGAGCCAAAACACCCAAATTAGTTCGACTTGTATACAGTAGGCCGCAAAAGATGAGTGTTGGACTTGGCTTCCAAATAGGACACTTCTGACAGTATTTGAGAGTTTGGTATGGTCATCCATCACTGGTAGCTGTCATCCAAGTCTGATAAAAGGAATGTACAAATTTCATGAAAGGCTCTGATACCTGATGAGCTCTTTACTTCCAATACTCCTTCCGAAAACAGAAATTCTCAGAACTTCAGCTCTCTGAATTTTACAGGTTCGAGAACAATTTGCTCATCTTGAAGTCTTTCCTGCAGAAGCACACAAAAATTATTTATAGAAAAAGATCTAAAGACAAAATGTACTTTGAAATAATGTATTTAAAATATTTGAATATTTTCAGGAATATTTTGAATGCACCTAGAGTGTTTGGCCAAATAAAGGTACCAAAACACAGATAAGTTTTATATTCCAGGTACAAGTAGTCTTTTGAACTCAGCACTTCTGAAGGTTCTCTGAAAAAATGAAGTTATATGTACAGAAAACTAGTTTCAGCACTTACAGAGTGATTCTCTTGCCCTGATAGAGAATCAAGTCTTCTGCACTAACAGAAACGTTTCAGTGGTACAAATGGCCATATTAATTATTAAAATGGAATTTTAAAATGGCATATTAGTCTTCTTGACTAGGTGAAGCAGTACCTGCAAAATATTTGGAAAAGTAGTACCATTTATTTACCCATATATAGCATGCTAAGTCTCAGGATGTCTTCTTCAACCATCCCTTTGACATTTTATATAATTTCTTCATACTGTAAACTACAGACTTCTTCGCCCCTAAAAAGTAACATCAAAAAAGTTTAGAAAGATGAAATCAAATATTATGTTATTTTACTACTTCTTTTACTTTATGAACATACCTGTTACTACCTTAAGTGAAATACTTCCCCAGAGAAATGACAATAGCCTGATCCATGCTTTAAGATATGCAAATTAACCTTCTCACATACATACTACAGTAACTAATAACACTTTTCATAGTATCAAAGCATGCAAAATGGGATAAGCTTGGTCTATTCTAAAGCCCTGATGGCAACATTGCAAATTAATCAAAGATGCAGTGACTCAAGGCAAAATTGTCAACTAGAACAGATAAAGACTTCAGTTAAATAACATACATTCTTGCTCCTAAACACTAAAGATACAAAGACTTTTAAACCATCCAATCTACTACAGATCCTCAAACTAATATATCATTTTTCAAGCAGTTTCTGGCTCTATGCCCATGTAGCACATCCAGCTGAATAGGGCTGAATCAGGCATGACAATCAATGCCAGAAACTAATGGACTTGATTACGCAGGACTGAGCAGGACTATTTAGTAAACTCTAAACTGGTTAGCATGCAGGTAAATCAGGATGCCACATCTGTGAGAGGAAGCAAGTTACTGAAGCATTTCAGCTCTTAAAAGAGGAGCTCACAACCAGATTTCTGAGATTAAATTAGACCTAATCTTCAGGTGCTAAGGCTGTACCTAATATCTGTGGTCAGAATTTGACAAGAGGAGTAAAAGGGAAGGAGAGAGAGATAGAGAAGTGAAGTAGATGACACACAGCAAGTCTCATACCTCCAAACCCTTCTTTCTCCTGCTAAGCAGATTTCAGTTACACTTCCTTTGCAACTATGCAGTTAGAACTGTGCAAGCCTCTCCCTGAGTTCCATCTTGATAAAGACTCCAGCAAATCAAGTGACCCCTTCCTCATTTATTTGATAAAACCCCTTCCTCATTTATTTGATAAAACAAAAAGTGCAAGTTTTCACATTACAAAGTGTAATGAACCCTTACCAATTGAATGCTGAAAATATAAATGTAGGTTTTAAAGGTGTTTGTGCTGCATTAACTTTATCCCTTGCACACACAGATTAAAAAGTATGGTCCTGTAGGACTAAACTCATAACCATTTTTTCTTTTTCATGACTTTTTCCTTTTTCTTTTTTAATATACTAAAATTTACTTGACCAGACTGACAAAGTTCACATTGCTAATTAAGCCAAAAACCACACAGTATGAAATACCAGAACTCAGGGAAAGATCTTCTGAAATTAATGARCAAGCCAGACTCAGTGGTAGCCATCTACAATACAGCACACTGGTGTGGGGGGGAATAAGGATCTAGTAATATATGATTTAAGACAACTTTAGAAAGCACACAAAGGTAAAAAGACAAATATTATTTTAGGTGAACAACAATTTTGTTATTAGTAGCCTACAGTTCCACAAAGTCAAACGAGCATGAGATAATAGGAAAATGCATGTTGTACTTCTGAAAGAACGTCAGGGAGAATAAAAAGACTAATACAAAAACCATGCTGGACACAATCCGTTTTGCAGCTCTAGTCTATCTGGCTGCCATTAAAAAGGTTTTTTTGGTAAGAATTTTGTAAGAATTCATACATAGAGATATTTTAAATTTATGGAAGCCTTTGTCTCCTGTAGGTACACCCAAACTTTATGTATTTCAGACGTTTTTACTGACATGAAGCACACAAATGAAGTCATTACATTTTTTTTTCTGCAGTATCACAAATAACCAATAATCACAAAGAAACTATAATGTATCAGTTACTTGCATTACAACTGCATGTAGTTTAGGAATTCTAGAGACAGAATAAGGCTAAGCTCTGTCTAGCACATTCACAGAAGTGGTTCCRATTCCCAAGGTTAAAAAAATCACCAGAAGATCTTTGGTAACTACTCTCTACTCTCCTAGGGCACTATACAGCAAAGCAAAGATCCATTTCATCCTGCCATTCAAACAAAATCAGTATATTTCTTAAATATGTACAGGATGTGGCAAAWGCACAGTAAGACAGCAAATTACTGTCCTGCACAACAGTACTTAACTGAGCTGGCACTGTGGTCTGCAAGTTAGCTTCTTTTAAGTTGGCCAACCCATTCTGCCTCCTGCTCAACATTAAGAGCTTTTTCATAGCAGTATTTCTCCCTTYAGGGATCAGTCTACTGAACTCCAACCACCAGAGCCTTGAATATAACATCTTATGTAACAAGATGCTTAAATTTTTGCTCTAGTCAATCCTGCTACAAAGCAAAATACAGGTTTATGCACACAGCTGGTTTCTTCTAGCAGCCCTCTGGGTCATGAGTCACATGTGTAGTAAAAGTTAATGGTTGTAATTATGGCTTAGTCTCAGAATCTGAAGCAGTTCGACCACATAAAATGTCTTTCTACTTTAGCTATGAATCTAAGACTTCGTTGTTCCACGTCTCCTTTAGATTTTTGCAATATATGATACAGAACAAAGACCTAATGCACATGGAATTAAGACCACAAAATTTCTGCATAAATATAAGTTGTATCTGGTTTTGATCAAGTGTCCCTTGTTCCTTTTTTAGAACTGTATTATATTATAGTCAAATTACTATCTTAGAAGTCCATTAAAGTTTCCTTATAGATATACCTGGATGTAAAACTATTTCCTTTTGAAATAGGTTAATGCACATAAAATGCAGCATAGGTAAATATTTATATAATGTTAGCTTGACATGCACAGATRCATGCAAATGTTTTGTACATGCTTACAGTGAGGTGCAGTGGTATGCAGTATTTTTTCAGCCAGCTGATATGTACAGCAGTTACTGCAGCATCTACATACTGAATGCTATATAAAAGGCTGACCTTCACATGTAAAAAAATATTTCCTTGTTGGAAACAGAATACAAAGATTTCAATTCTAAAAAAAATCAAAACCAACAGAAAAACACTACAAGCATTTTTGTTAACTTCCATTACAACTGTTCAGCATTCCAACTGATGATTTAATTTGTAATGTTTTATTTACAAGTCATTTGCAAGACTTGAAGGGTCCCCTTGGTGTGATACAAGAAGTCTAAGGTAAAAAGGTACTAACACCTCACTCAGAAAGGCTAAATAAGAACTTGAGCATTAGTTCCCAAATGCAGACTCTGGTTATGTGGGAAAATAAATCAAAAGACAGTGCCATCTTTAATAGGAAACAGAGAGGCAATCTCACCACAGACTTGAAAAAAATACACAGGCACATCAAAAACTAAATAGGGCATTTAACAACAGACCAAAACACAAAGCATAAGCTCAACTTTAAAACCATACTGACAAAAAGAGWCAAAAAAAGTTCTCTTAAATGGGCTGAAATTCTTTATTTTGATTGTGTTGCTTTCCAATGTTAGTACCCAGCATGCCACCTCAATAAAAAGTATTCCTGATTTAACTTGCAGTTTAGCATTACACTGTTCATTGTATTGCAACATTACAGTCCAGACAGTAAGCATTTGTTTCTCTATTCTAAGATCTAACATTCATTTAAGGAAATCATTTTGTGTCTCTATTAAAGTTTTAAAAGAATGATGGTCAGATAATGAAAACTTTTCACAAACAGACTTAGGACAAAAGTACTGTGTCAGTTACTAGGAATAGAAAGAAAAAACAAGCAGAGCTTGTTCAACRGAACCACTAGTTCCATGATTTTCCTGATTTCTCAGTATTTTAGGTCATGTTCTTAAAGAGAACACTGCAGAAGCACAGAATGAAAGCATCAGAGCCATAATGCTTCTCTTAAAAGTCCATACCAGAAAGTATAAAATACTGCTTAACRGGGACAGAACATTAGACAAGATAAAGAACAAAACCCTAAATCCTTAGATATTTAATATAATAGCTAAGCACTTATTGTATTGTTTAAGCAAATAATTTCTATAGATGAACTGCAATTTTCTTTCTGGATGCAGTATGCATATTATCTGAAAAGACCCTAAATAAATGGGAATCCAATCAAATAGCATTAATGGACTGCCCTCTAGTGACAAATTTTTAATTAAGAAACTGCCATCAGGAGACCTTTATTAGAAGCTATGCAAGAYTTCTGAGATTCAGGCAAACATTTTTCTCTATTTGGAGAGGAATATAAACAGACATAAGCAAAATGTTCCCACTAAGTCACTTATAAGCCAATATCATCCTCTCTCTCCTAAATTCCACTGAAGATCACACAAAACCTTTAAAGTCAGGAAATTACCAGAGATGCTTCTTTTGCAAATAGAACTCATTGCCCTGAGCACATAATCTTTGAGTAACTCTGAAATATCAATCCTGAACTCTGTTGCACTGAGTTCATGTTTGAGACAAAGGTTCACAATAGGTTTGTTTTACCTTGACTCAAATTCCAAAAAACTGTTTCCAACACTAAACACACTGATGGAAAAATATTGTTTAAATATGTTTTCCTCCTTGTAACTAGCTGAAAAAAGTTCAAGCTTATACTAAAGCAAAAAAAAGAAACATAACTACATAAACTCAAAACCAGCATTAAAGATGGTAAAGATGGTAAGAAAAAACATTTCAAGAGTACCCCCTTTCAGGCACACAAAACAAAGTGATGTAAAAATTCAAGTCTACTAAAATGTGTCCAACAGTAATAACAATATGAGCTCTCAGTGACTGGTGTGAACATGAGTCGAATAACACACGAGGACTTCGTGACTCTCAGAGGTTGTTTTATGTCTATCAAAATTCAGATGGGGTGTGTAGTATGATGAAGCTTAGCTGCTTTTATTCRTAGTATTGCAGTTACACATGAACAGCTTTTTCAGTTCAGTTCGGCTGTTAGCTTTCAAAAGCACTGAATTTGCACATAAAAACATTATCTTTCTCATCCTCTCCTTCCCAGATTCTTTTGCTCTACAATATCTACCCTCTGTGGTAGAAATAGGTCACAAAATGGTATTTCTAAAACAGATATTCTGCATTACCAGATTCCTGATTACTAGCAGGCAACCTAGAAAAATCCTACAAGGACAAAAACCACGCTTACTCTGTTGGAGACTTTGCTTTAGAGTCATATAAAAGCAACATGCCTGATGCAAGAAAATTCATTTTCTCAGATCAAGTTGCACCCTTAAGTTCCATTTTTTTCTCCTCTATAAGTTCTCTCATATCACTTCGTAATACTAAACTCTTATTCTGAAGTAGTTCATTTTTATGCACCAGAATTACAGTAATATACAGTGCTTGCCACATATAGGCTCAGCATGAAACAAGATGCATTTGAATATACACCTATCTTCTCATCCTGGATAGAAGCATCAGATTCTTTTAAGTTCTCATCTCTCACTTACTTTAACTTAATGTCTCTCCCTTAATGATGATATAATATTGTGATCCACAGAACAATACTATGTATTGATCACTGTGATCTATTCACACATAGCAAGCCAAAAGCAATTATGAAGTAATTTCATTTTATTAATACCAAAAGAGAACTAGTGCACCCAGTGCACATCAACAATAKCTGGCCCACTTAACCTCCAGACTTTTTTTTTCCAAGTCATATAGCCTCCAATTCCTTTTGTTACTTTACAATTTTCTAGTAGTTATCGAAAGCAGATATAGCAATTTTCAACATTTTCATTAAACATCCAAAAAGTTTATTCTCTATAAACTTCTATAAAAAGACAGTTCTAAAGCACTATAATTCTAAGCTTTGTGAAAATCAGAACATCTATGCAGACACAAGTTGCACACATTCTTACCAGCTGTCAGTATGGTTTTAGCACTCTGTGCTACACTGGAAGATCTCACAATTCCCGAAATGCCTGCAGACAGAAACACACATAGATGTTACCTATCTTGACAGTTTTGCAGGGTTGCATCCTCTAACATACAAAAAATTGAAAAATATTTTTTCCAGGTACACAATGAAGCAAACCCTAAAATCAAACACTTCAGCTGAGAAATGCTATTTCTAGTCTCCCTTGCCATACTAAATGAAAATACTGTTTTAAATATACTTGTTACTTGAACTTAATATATAACAATATATATATATTTATATATAAAAACAGGTAACAATAACAATTAGCAGGAACTGATCCAGTTAGTCTGTCCAGTCTTCACACTATTTCTCAAATTATGCATCATCTAAGCATTAGCATTTTAACTTTCTAGACCAAAACAATTCATACTCATCATTTACTTCAATACGAAACTGGAATTTTGCACTTGTTTAATCAAGTAGAGATGCCTACATAGCTCAGCACTGTCTAGCTTATTTAATACAGTTTTCAGGGGTAATGCTCATTTACTACTTTGAATTGTGGCACAGTCAGCCTCTACGTAGCTAGAATATTACATATTTTTAATGGAAAAATATATGCAAAATAAGTTTTACATGTTCTAATGCATAAAGGCACACAAACTTATATTGCTAAATAATTTCAAAATAAAGAAAAGCATCAGTCTCAAAGTTCATCTCCCAAACTACAAGCTATTTTTCTGCACTAACCACAACAGAAAATATAATTCCTTATACTATTTTCAGAATCTTCATTCAAAGCTACTTATATAACCAAGAACAAAAACTTCAGGAAATCCACACACAAGAAATAGTTTATCTGAAAAAATCAATTGTTTTTATTCAATAAATGAGATGTTGAGCTAATCAAACTTCTGAGGGAAAAAAGTACACCCTTCAATTTCAATAATCAGTTCAGTCTTGTATTGTTACAAAATGGCTCTATTTTTTATCTGTTTCTGATAAAAAACTCCTTTGTCCACAAGGAATTCCTTTGTCCATATTTGTTCTTCTAAAGAAGATAAGCTGCTTGGCTTGAGAAGGCTAGATCTAACCAATGTTTTGATACCAAATCGCTATATGACTATGTACAAATCAGTAATCCATGTCTGAAACACCCTGCAAAAACACACGGCCTGACTAGTTCATGTTACATGCTAAGGATGAGTCTTTCCAGGATCTGAAATAAAATTCCTAACAAGTACTTTAGTACTTCAGAGAACCTGTTCACAATCAAGCCAATCCTAAAATGTGCCTTTTGGAAGGTACTGTAAGATTAATTGCTTATAGTCTTCCTTCTCTCTCAAGCATCCTCCTGAGTAAAAAGAACATATGTAATAAATCTTTACATCTAGAGGCATTAAAGGAGATTGCTAAAGTTTATCTAGGCCTACCTTGATGTACCACAAATCCACAGTCAGGGTCATGAGCAACTTGCATTAAAATTTCTTCTACATCTCTGTTTTTTCCAGGAGGATCTACCAGAGAAGTTATCTTCTGCTGTAGAGTTCTTGGCAAAGCCATTAGCTGYGTGAACTGACCTTCTGGACTTTTATCAATCTGAATTTTATAAAAGACAGTAACAGCATACAGTGTTAACAGAAATAATCTCTATTTTCAAACAAGTCACAGAAGTCTTTGGTTTACCTTTGGTCTATGATAAAGCTGTGGGGGTTGAATATCTCAAAAAACACTATTTTGCATGCAGAAAATCAATGACAAAAATAATGAAAGCTCCTCATGCAGTGGAAAAGGCTGTATCTCATTTCTGAATCTGAAGAGTAACACAACAGAAAGCTGATGTGTTTTATCCAAGGGAAGACTTGGGTACACTGGTTAAACACTAGTTATTGTGGAAATAGTACCATTTCTGCTTTATTCAATTTCCTTTGAAATGTAAGTACACTACAATGAAAAAAATGGTCCCAAAAGACTGGTTATCTACATGTTTCTTCTGAATATAATCAAGCTATTTATCCACATGCATATGCATTTAAACTTTCATTTGAAAAAAGAAGTTTTTCTGCTGTAAAAACTTAACCTCATCTGGTTTGCATAACTTGAAAGAAACATTTATTCCACATTTTCCAGTCTGAATCAGAAATATAGCGACCCTTTTCTGCCGACAGTGATTCTAAGATGCAGGTCTGTACACAKTTATACAAAACACAAATACTTGGGGTGGGGGACGGGGAGAGGGACAAAAAGTATATTGGAGTAAATCTCTCCCAAAACTGGAGAAAAATATCAAGAACCTGATTCCTCCCATACAACTTTCAAAACATTTCATGGAACCATCAGACAGGAGTCTGGTTACYCTAAACTCCTTCTAGTCAATGGAGAGAAAATGATATCCAGATGAATCACCCGCTGAACACACATGAAGCCAACAATGAGCAGACTCCTAACATTATGTGGGAGGAATGCTTGCCGAAACCAGAACTATCAGAAGTAGTGTCTGCCTTCAATTATTTCTGAGGAATCCATTAAGAAAGATTTCTGTGATTCTGCAAACATACATTTTGCATGGATGGTTCCTGTTAYATGTTAAGCTTTACTCTAAGTAGCATTTATCCTCTTCAAGGAATAAAAGCAAATACGCAGAGCAAAGTATAAGGAATAAAGTATATACCACTTGGCTCAAAATCAACAGTAACACAACAGCATTTAGTCAACAATCTCAGTGACTAACATCTAATTCCAAACAGATGTGTTATCCCACAACATATTTGTACTATGCTACTAGTTTTTATGTACATGTAAAGTAAGAGTTTTATTTTAACTAGTCTTCTTGGAAAAAGCATTGTCAATTATGTTCAGAATTTAAAATACTTCTAATGGTTAAAAAGTTGACAAGCCCACTGATAAGAAAATATGCAGACAGCTACACTGTGATGTAGATCTACCCATACTGTACTCTAAAATGCTGTGGTAAAACTTTCCCATACTCAAGCTTGCTTACATCTTTAACAACTTAATGAGATAATTACGAAGGTGACCAGAGAATAGAAGGGTAATTTATGGACATGAGATAACATGCTATTTGTAGCTTAATGTTGAAATGCACACCATAGCTTAATTTCTGCACACAGACACACATCCTACAATTAAAAAACAAAAACTGCTATTGAAACGCAGGATGACACAGCACTCCTAATTGCTATTTTTCACTTACATCTTATGCTGCAAAGATGGAATTCAAGGCACTGCCTATTTTGGACAACTGTTTCCTGAATGTGTTGAACACAATTATTGGGTATGGTTATCTAAATACAGCGTTGTGTTTTCATCTGAGCTTAGTTGACTGAAGTTTTGCAAATAGGACTCAAGTTTGCCGGATATAAAGTTCTGATTGCACAAAGTTAACATATGGTCAATTTCTTTTTTTTAAGCACAAACTCAATGTTCGCACTTCATTTTCTATATTGTTGTTTCCATATTGTAGTCATTAAGTTGCATGTTTTTAAAACATCTTCCCCTGTTCCCTTCTTAGGGCTCTATTCCTATGGCCATTCTCAAAGAAAAGGAGCACTAGTTATTACATAGACAGAAATTGATATTTAAGGTGAATTTTCCGGTTGCAGAATTAAGCAAGCAACAAAGCAAACAGCAACTATATTGACTACAACTGCTCATGATGGCATATAGCAAAGTTCTAGCCTTTCACTTTCATTGTTATTTTGGAAAAGCACTGAAGAAAACTACTTGCCTCTAGTCTTCCCAGACGATGCTTATATACCACTTGAGGGCAGTCCTGTAATATGTTACTGTATAGCTTCTGAAAATGAGGAACACTAGGCTTCACTATGTTCTGTACTTTTGATTTGTCTTCTCCTATTATCATTCTGAAATCACCTAGACAAGGAAGAAAGATGTAACAAGTTTCACGCTTTCTTGTACATTAAACTTTCTATTTCAGTTCTGTGCATATGGTACAACAGCTCTATCTACAGCTTTATTCCTCARTGGCTTTAAATACCATATACTAACCAGAATAGGAGAGTCCTGCAATCTGCATATAAAGGTCTTCTTCAGAGAAACTTTCTGGCAACATGAGAAAGGCTGCTGTGACTGCACTCTTCAGATTGCTAATAAGAGCAGCTTGCAGCTTGCCATTCTCATTTTGTGTCAGTATTTTCACCTGAAAAAAAAAAAAGAAGAAAAAAGAGTGATTTGAAGCAAAGCAGCTGGAAAGCACCACCGAAGATGAAGCTAGAAAAGCAGTGGGAAAGAAGAGAAAGTAGACTGCTACAAAAAGATGTAGGGAAAAAAAACAACAAAAGAGGTAATTTATCCTATTTATCTTCATTCCATTCTATGCAACAGTCTGAAATGGCTCCCAAGGGCACTTGTGGAAAATACTACTACTTTTKGGGTTTCATTTTAAAAACACAACTTCAGTCAAACATGCAAGAACTCCTTTTAACTCTTCTGCACACCACTTTGTTTTCTATTTTAATACTAGAAACTACAATTATAAAACCTATTAATCTACAACATTCACCTGCCACAGAGCCTACACTGTATCTGCCTCCCTTGAACTCCACAGAAGAGYTTACTGAATGCATACACACTAGGTTAAAATCCAATATTAAAAATATGTTGATTGATCACAAGGATAAAATGGTAAATCTCATTTCAAACCATTCGGATGGCTAGACAGATCCCAAAAAGGCTTTGTCATAAAACAGAGAATTCAGAAAAAAAAGGTGGTTCCCAGTATCACTTATAAAACTTTAAATACCACTCAGTCTTCCCTCTCTCAGCTCACCTCATTAAACAGAGAGCCCTCCATGACAAAAGTATTTTATTGTTTATACTAAGCGAATACTTACACAAAATATTTAACAAAAAATTAGTAACTTCAGATGCTTTTAAAAATCTTCTTCCCCTCAGAAAATATAAAGGTCATTGTGCTTTCTTCACCCCTCAAGAATCTTGCCAGTTTCAGAACACTTATAACCAATTTTATTCTTTTTTGTCAGTACAGTTATATGTGCATTTAGCTAAGTGAAATTATGAATTTCACTTAAGAGGAAGAGCCAATAAACTCCTAACAMACAAGCAAAACAGCCTGGGAATAAAATTCAGCATTTCTAACAGCAATTTTAAACTCCATATATTTGCCCAGCATTCAGGAAAGATTACTTGTTCAAGGAAACCAGTTTATAACAGAAACAAAACCTTCCATGAAAATCCTGCCAATATTTCCAAGCTGGAGCAAATGTTTCATCTCATCTGCTAGCATAGTTTGGATGGCTTTCATTTGCAGAGTGACAGCTTTGTAATGCAACCCCAGCGAGGCTCTCAGCTCTTCCCCTCTTGACAAGAACAAGCAGGAAACTCCCAGACAAACTGTTAAACAACATTAATCTGCCTCTAGTCAACTGTGTCTAGAAGTAGCACAAAYGGTATGTAAGATCTTACAGCATATTAAAAAATCTCCTCCAAAATAGTCTTATTCTACAGTTTTAGAAGCTTTCCTTTACCAAAGCATACACCAAAACATTAAATCAGACATGAAGCCAGCAAAAATCTGAAACCTACAAATAACTTTTTTGATATATTTTAATCATATCTGCAAGAGTAGTAGAACTTTYAAAAATTCCAGTTTGTGATTTTACAGATTACTTTCTATAAAGAGCAATTTAAAAGATACACAAAGTAATTCAATCTTTCAGTCAAATTCTAGCTTAAGTCCTACAAACTTTATTCAAACCATATTCCTGTGAGCTTTGTGCAAATAATTTGGACTGGTTATTACTTTTATCTTTTAAGCTCATATGCATGAGGCTATCTCTATCTTTTTAGTGTCCAAACAAAATTCCAAATTCTGCCTTGCAGTGCAAGTATGCACTCACCCTTGAATTTAACACGAGAGCATCAAGCACAATTTGTAGGTACCAAAATGATGAAAAACATCTCTACTAAAGCAAAGCAGCAGCAAGTATAGTTACACTGAAAAAAAAACTCATCTTTTTAGTCAATATGAAATTCAAAATTCTTCCTTCAGTCTTTTTTTCAATGTATTAAGTTTTATTCCTCATAAAACTAGCCTACTGTTCTAGCCTATTTCATGCCATAATGAGTCACCCAAGATTGGCAAAAATTCAACACATTTAAGTAGAGACAATACATTTAAACTCATACTCTACATTTCTGATCAAAAGCATAATTTATACTTTAAGCTTTGAACTGAATTCCCCCTCTAGAAAATGTAACTTAGCATTGCTGCCATCTGCTGAAAGCACATCAAGTCACCCACTTAACAGGGAGCAAAGGCTTCACTTTTTTTTTAAATATGACAAAAAACATTTGACATTCTTACCATATACAGTCAATTTCATTGTCCTTATCCAGACAACAAACCACACAATAACTACATAGCAAAGCAGCTTTCATCTTTACGTGTACGAAAGGCCTCCACTTTATAAAAGTGGAATATTCTTTAACCTTAAAGAGATAACTTACTACAGTCTAGATAGTCAGGACGTAGTATGGCCAGAACATTATGGTTAATATATCTACCATTAAGTTTYTGACATAACACAATTCACTTAAAGTCTACATTTTACCTCCTTTCCAAGAAATTATTTCTCTAGCAGAACTCAAATCAGGTGATCACTTGGGTGCTGACTCAGTGATAAGASCTAAACTACTAGTGATAACTTTCCATCCCTGCCATTTCCTCTATTTTAAAGACAGATAAACTGAACAGATAGTTACTGGTTTTTGTAGACGTCCAGCAACATATAGGGTTTTCCAGTGAAATAAGTCATCAATCAAGACATCAGTGCTAATTACACCGTATTTTATCATCTGAAAAGACAAAACAGAATGTTCAGAACAACTATATAGTAATACTGCATACATTTACTCAAAGTATTTTTTTTACTGTAACTATCATCAATGCTAAAGAATATACCCCTATGATTAAAACTGCAGAAGAAAAAACTATTTACTAGAGAAACACTGTATTCAACAGCAGCACTGATAGCACTGATTGCTTAAAACAGGAAAGCTGAGTTCCAGAAATAAATCAGATTTGTAAAGACAAAAAGAGCATATGGACATCTCATAGAATATGAATGATAACAAACACTATTTTCCTGTAACTATTTTTTGAAATAAATGATAGGATGCAACATGTCCTCTAAGATTCTTCCTGGGAGGAGGTTAAAAAAAACAAACTCGCTACAAATTTACCCCAGGATCAATCTCTAAGGAAAAGGACTTCAAAGCACAAAAAACTAGACTCTGAAAAAATCTAAATATTACAACATAACCCTTTTTGAAAAATAATTCTGAAAGGTTATGGCCGCCCTTTGTATCAGCAAAATACTGCAATAGGTGGAATTTTGTGAAGTACAATAATATTTATCATCTGGGAAATTTTAAGTAAACAAAACAATCTTGCATATTTATGGGTATTCTATTGGGGGAAATGGTTCAGGAAGCTTTTGCCTTGTTAGAAAATAACTTGATATTCTGCAACTCAGTTTGCATAACTGGAAGAAAATATATACTTAACAGGTTGTTATCAGTCTACAGATATCAGATTTCCTAAGACTACCATCAAATCAAGCCAGCAAACATGAAATAAAGGCATAATGAGAGCCAAAAGTTCAACAACGAAGATCATTATATATATCCTGACATACAAATTCAAAATTCCTTCTTATATGAAGAAAACAAGGTTTAAACCCCAAATTCTTACCTCATTCAGTTGCCTTTTAAACAAAACAGCAAGCACACAATTGGCTCCTGCATCTATCTCTCCAATCTCATATCAAAAATTCTGATACATATCCAATGTTATTGAAATCATGTGCCCTGAGAAACTTTAGTTAGGCATATATTAATCAAATGGCATTTTTCCTCTGACTGTGATTTATTTCATTTTCTATTTTTCTTATGAACAGATTTTATAACACACCAAAATTGCTCAAATCAGCATCAACACACACAAATACAGCATTCTCTYTCCTGACTCATTCCTCCTACAAAACACCGCAGATATGGACAAAGAACTTACTAGATAAGTATGACTTGCCTAGATTATTTATACCCAAAACTTCAGAGGCCCACAATTGTGAGCCATTACACAACACATGCCAATTATTATTTGCTATGTTAAATCTTTGTATTTCATCTCAAGAACAGTTAGAATGCACTTCCCATTACAATGTAATCAACTACTGAATGCAAATCTTTATTTCTCCATAGATGTAAACAGTTAAACACTTCAGAATGATCAAAATCAGTAGACAGCAAGCAATAAGCAAAATAAATGCAGTTTCTGAGGTACTTTGGTTGTAAGTTCTAAACATCATCATTTTTAAAAGCTATTGCTGCCTCTCTTTTGCCTAATAGTTAGGGAGCTACCCGTAGAAGTTTGAGATACAAATACTTAATATACCACCAGTTAAACTATTGATTTRCCACCAGTTAGGTTAGTTATTGCTACAAGGAGCAATATGTGCTTCCTGCACAAATGGTGACTTTGACCTAATCAGCTCACTAACCCAAACACACACATCTAGCTTAATTTACTCCAACTTTTACTTACCCTACCATTACATGGCACTAAAGTATTGTAGTAAATGCCTGCTCCGTAGCTCTGTATATTACTTATCTGCTTTGGTCCAAAAACTTTGAGGAAGGAATAATGGCTCTTGTTCTTTAACAAGTTCATCATATGCCATGTAACAGAATCATCAACAGCAAATACGAAGTCCAACATATTGTTCTATGAATACAAAGAGAAAGAGTTACTTACATATTAGAAAGCAGCAAATGGTCATCATATTATTCTAATGTTCATGTAACATGCAACCATGAGCTAATCATTGTTTAATGATTATAGGAAAGCCCTAAGTGTCAGGTCTAGTTTAAYGGTTCTAGCAGAGAACCTAGTTTACAGCTACACAAAACAGCTTGAATTGTCAGCAAAGACAACTTTTGCTAACACACAAGGCTACAAATGTGCATGAGATGTGGGCAGATTTTGTCCAACAAATGCTACCTGCAAAGAAGTGTGCCAAGAGCTGGGTTTCAGTGAACAACCAGAACTGGCATGTTCTATGAATCCACCAGAACTCAAACACACACACAAAAAAAGAAATTCTCACCCAGGCACTTCCTTGTTCGTGAAAAAAAAAAAATTAGTAATGTTTCAAATAAAAAGGTACATACATCCGGTACGTACATGTCAGTACATGTACTGGCATCTGGTAGCAAAAACCTACATTCTATCATATTCACTTCAATAACTTACACGCAAACTCTAGAGGCTTGTAACATGAAGTACACTTTTTCTGAAGGGGAAAAAAGTCATCTCACTCAAATTTACAGATTGTAAGTTTATAACCTGYTCCTGCACCTACAATAACCTAACATTTGGGGTGATATTGCAATATTGCTTAGAATTTTTCAGGCCCAACTCTTCTCACAGATCACTAAATGCATTCTTAGCTGTATTTTGCCTCATTAGCTAAAATTGACTACTAACAGGGCAGCCTGCTAACGACCTCATGTTCCCACTTTTTTGTTGTTGTTGTTGTGAGAGAATGAAAGGTTATTTACAAGTGGGACTTCTGCGGGAACAGGTAAGAAGCCAGCCGAAAGAGAGAGAGAGCGCGCGCACAAGGCTGGTGTGTGACCACTTCCGAACGGCTGCGCCCGCACAAGCCGCTATTTCRCGGCTCCGCGACCCACTCACGAGGGCTGAAGAAGCGCCGGGGACTCTTAACGGCCCCAACGCGTTTTCCCGTTGCGATAGCGCGACCCTCCGTGGCGCTTTCAGGTGCGGGCAAAGGGGCCTGAAGCGCCGCCCAAGCTACAGGTGCCCGCCAGACCCCCCCACAAGCCTCCWTCCCTCAACTCCAGCTTTTTTCCTTTCTTTTCCCCTCCAGTAAATAAGTAAACAGGCACATAAACCGCGGTTTGACACCACAGAGGCAGGTGCAGGCGAAGCGCTCTGCCGCCTTCACGCTGAAGGACAGCGGCAACTCCCTCTCCATCCTCTCCGCGGCTGCGCTCACCTCGCTGTGGGCGGCCGAGACTCCCGCCTGATGAAAGACGCCGGAGCCGTAGGCGAAGGCCAGGCTGAGCTCCTGGGGGAAATGCGCCAGCACCCGCCGGAACGCCACTCCCGAGCCCGCCAGCACGGGCGCCGCCATGGCGGCCCCTTCCCGCCCCGCGAGAGCCCGCCCCGCGCTGCCCTGCGCCTGGCCCACAGAGACGGCGGCAGCGCGGGGAAGAGCGGCCACCGCGACGCAGCGCCGCCTGTCGCCCAGTCCGCCAGGGCAGCGGAGGTGCCGCTATCTGGCTGCGACCAGCTCGATCCGGCTGCGGCCGGTCTGAGGCGGCGCGGTTTCCCGCCCCGGTCTCCCTTCATGGGACTCAGCCATGTTGTGCTTCGGCAGCCAGTGCCCCATTTCCGCCCTCTCACATTTCCCACCCTTTTAGCTCACATCTTTAGTTAACCGCAGTATTGTACCCCTCCAACAATTGTTTTTTCCTTTCMTTATTTAAGTTCCCATGTGTGTGTTTTATTCTGATTATCAGCTTCCTCCTGGATTCTTGTGGGCCCTGCATTTCACATGTCTCCCAGACTGAAAAAACAGAAAACACACAGCATTTAGTTATTGCTGTTGACTTGTCTCACACTTRAAGCCTTTCACTGGGCCTTAGTTTTAACTTTCAGGTCCCAAATAACATTTATTCAGACTCAGSATGAAATGTCTAAAAAAACACTTCAGAATATGAAACATTCTCCTCCCCCCAATCTACTGAAAGTTTTCACTCCGTTTTATAACTCCAAAAATAACCTTTTAACACTATACAATGCCTTGAGAAAAACAACAGCATCTTTTAAACGCCTACACCTCTGCTAAATTACAAATAAACAACTAGGCCTATTAACTTGTTTGAAATTACTTCTTTGCCYAAAACACATTAAATAACAAAGACTTTAAGGTGAGTTTTATTACATAAAACTATGCTCTGTTATGCACAGAATCACTTGACTAACAGAAATGTTGGAAGAAAAAACCTGAAACAACATTCAATTGTATTATTAACAGCAAATAATATAAAAACTTCCATAAATAAGTCAAATCTTTTCAKAAAGTAGACTTTGATCCTTCTTAAACTTGGCTATTAAAATAACAAAAAGACCAAAAATTCCAGTCTAAATATTTTCAGGAGAAATAAAAAACATACTTACAGGCCTGTTTGTCTCAGTCTTCTTTATTCTGAATGTTTGTTAAATTAGCTTATTTAAAATGAAACTTTAAACATGTTTTCAATTAACTTTACTAATATAGCAAATCTTTGAATCTCAGCACAAAGAATTTGAGCAAGCCTTCCTTGCCTAAATATATACTTCTAAATCGTGGGTGTGTTTGTTGCATGCATCTGTAAGTGGTATCACCTGTGTGATGACTAAGCAATCTAATTTGATTACTTAATTTAGGTTAGCTGAGAGAAATGGTATAAATAGCCATTCGAGGCCAGTGTTTTTTCTTTTTGTTATCATTTGTAAAGTTTTGAAATGAAGTTGTGTGGTATCTACATTTTTTTCCTTAAGTAATTTTTTTTTCTTTATTCTTTCTTCTTTGTGGTATTCTGTTAACTTAAAAAAGCACACTTTGTATAGTTTGCTGTAATTAACTTATCCTGATAAAGTCAGCAGGATAGCAGTGGTTTACTGCTAGAGTCAGGTGGAAGGAAAGGTAAGTAAAATAAAGTTATAAAAATGCTTAAATAAGTTGAAGATTTATATGTGTCAAGAATTTTAATGGTTTGGAAGGATTAATGGAGTTTTTCTATTGCATGATTTAGTTTGTACTTAGATTAGGAAAACTTTTCAATGTTATGTAGAGGGTTGAAGAATTTGTTAGCAATCCTCAGACTTTATCTTTTTTGGTGCATTTTAGTGAATTTAAAAACAAACATYTAAATTATAAGTAATCCTTAATTAAGGAGATGGATATCATGATTTTGTGAAGCTATTATACTGATTTTATCCTGTCTGTTGGCTTGAAAACTAAACCTCAGAAATATTTTTGAAAGGTAATTAGCTTGACTTTGTTTAGTTACATCTGATCTGAAAATATCAGAAATAACAGAAGTTCATGAAATTCTTTTTACTATAGGAGTATATGGATGCTATTGATCCAGAGCAAGTATATTGTAAATAAGTAAAAAGAAAGAAGCACCTTTTTTTGGARAGGAACAGAAGGGTAAACTTTCAGAAGGCTCTTCTGCCCCTAATGTATAAAGCTAAGAGAAAAACCTTATGTGACASAAGTGATAAATTTTGGAGCTTTTTTACTTTGGACTTAAGGAATAATGTCATCAGAGTATTGCAGAGGGGTCCATTTGATTTCTTACTTTATCAGTCTCAAGCATTTTAGAGGCCTGCAGGTAGGTTTTTTGCTGTATTTTAAAGGCCATATTTTTCAATCTATTTTTTAGTGGGCTTTTTTTTTTTGCCCTATAAGTTAAATTTGATTTCTGCATCTGTTTGGACTTAAAAATGATTGTTTGTAATCGAAGAGTTAACTTTGAGACTAATAGCTTGYGACTTAAGATAATTTTGGGAGATTGTAGCTTATTAAAATACTTTTCTAAAGTTTATATCAAGTGGTCTTATGTCTTATAGCAATTTTTAACTTGGACTTAGAATCTGTTTTTCAAATTYTGCTTTGCTAACTTTGGTAAAGGAAATCTGCAAACACCAGAAGGTCCTAGTTTCATTTACACTTTCAGCAAGAACTGCGGTTGGAGGGAGCTGTTTTTTCTGTCTGCTTGTACCAGTGTAGGTGGTTGCGTGGCTACATATGAGAACAGATTGGAAAATTCATGTGGGTAAAAACTTAACTTTTTTCTAGGTTTTAATCAGGTCACTAATGTTTTTAGCACATAGATTTGTACTGCAAGCAGGATGGGCAGTGAGATGTCCTCTCCAGTCTCATATTACTAGACAGTGCTAGTTCAAAAGATGAAAGTGCTTGTGTTCTTTTGTTTAATRAAGTTTTGTCAGCATCTTGTCTCTGATTCTGTGCTTTGGACTTGTGTAAAGAAAGATTGAAAAAAGTGTATCATGGACACTTTTTTTACTTAATTATTTTAATCAAGAGTATGACAAAAGTTGTGAACCTGTGTTTATCTCCCTTTTGTAGGAGATAAAAATATCCCCACAAAACTTGAAAGCTCATCTAAGCATTGGTGTAGATTTTTCTGTTATTTTCTCTGTTCCCTTGGAGTTAAGAGAAGATGTAGATGGTCTCTGTTTACAGAGCTATSTTAATAACAGTATCCTCATTTGTACCTAAAATGATTGCCCTCACTAACTTAATACAGAACTCAATAACTGCTAAATCTGTGAGTGGATTTGACAACTTGGCATTAGGCTTCTGTGTGGGTGGTCTTCCTGGCGTCAGAACTACTGTTTGTTGGTAGTGAACTCYCTTGCTTGTGCTAGTGCTGCCTCCAGCAAAATTGTGTTCTTTAATTTTTCAGTGTGGCAGAACTTGTTGTATTTCTCCATAACGTGTTTACTGGAGATGGTGGTCTCTGAATAAAAGCAGAGTTAATAGSTGTGATGTTTGTAGCCTTTGTAATTATATCCAGGATAATTTTTTCATAAGGTAATGGCAGCATCTGGAATCTAGACATCTATCATTGGTTTAAATTTGCCACTGTGTCTGTGCTTAGTATTTTAAATTCTATGTCAGTAAAAATAATGTTTTTTTCTGAGAAAGAAAGCATGGATTGTGTGAATTCGTGCTGCTGCAGCAGCATGTACTGATGAGTTGGCTTGCTGTTTGTATGGAAGTTAACAGTGAACACCACTAGGTGTCCTCTCTTGCTGTTAGCAAATCTGGTATTACCTCCTGGAGATACTGCTTGGATTCTAACTGAAATACGSGTTTTAAACAAGCAAAGTGGAGGAGGAGCAAACCTGTAAACCTTTTTGGCTGTCTCTGGGCAATTTAAGGTGTGATGCCACTTGCAGATGTTTATAAAATGTGTGCTATTCCATTTTGTTAGGAAAGCTTCCTCCCCCACCTTGCTACCCATGCCAAAAGTTTATTTGTGACYGTCTAACTCATGATTATCCAAGGTATTATTCCTCAACAAAGGCAGATGTAGAGCTGGATATTTCTAGTTGTCTATTTGAAACCTCTTCTTAAAACCAGCAAATTCACAGCCACTAAAAAGAATTTCCTTTCCCTTGCTCTAGTGGATTATTGTCAGGCAATAGCAATGGTTAAGATGGTGAAAATGAGTAAGAAATAAGTTTGCTTCTGAAATGTATGGCTTTCCCTCTGGCTGTTCTGTCTGTTTGCTAGTTTTAGCCAGGAGGAGTTTTCAGTAGCAGACAGGTAATGGGTGAAAAATCATTTTGGCAATGCTATTCTTTGTGGTGTGCAGTAAAACATCAGGTGAGTGCTGAGTTCCTGCTGTTGATACATGAATGGCTGTTTCATACAAGAGCCAGTATTTTTTTGCTTGTTTTTGATTCCTAGGAACTGACCCTCATTAGTGGTGGACTATTGCATACTGCCAATGGAAATTTTAGTGGAGCTGGGAGGAAAAATTTTAAGTAATAGKGACACTTTCTGTATTGAATGCCTTTCACTGGTACTCAAAAGCTTTTAGAGAAATTGCAGCTTATTTTGTGTGTGTTTGAATGAGAATGGTAGGAAAATAGGCAGCATCTGTTGTCTTGTTCTGGATATTTTGTTCTTCCCTGCATTGTGGAGGCATCCAAGAGCAACAAGTTATATTCCTTCATGTCATTTTAAATATAAAGAGGGGAGCCATGGGTTATGTTTGGAATCCTTSCTTAGTAGTCTTGAGTTTTTAATAACACTCTCTGGAAAAGTGATGACTCTAAGCTGTGCTTGCTGTGACTTTAACCTATAGCAGCAGCAGCAGATGTGGCTGTATTCATCACAAGTACTGAGATAACTGGTGAAACACCTCCTAAAGACAATCTAATTAGCAAGCAATTACAGTGGTAGCAATGTTTCTAGAGGAATTATCCATGGTAGCTTTTCTTAATTCCATCTTGCAGATTTAGAGCACATTGCAAAGTTACTTATAATATTAAGACTTGTTTTTATTGTGGTATGTGTAGACTGCTGTTCTAATGGCAGTAAGCCATACCAATTGCAGTGCTTTGAGGGTCTGAATGCCTTTTGTGTACTCGGGAATTCCTTAATCTTTTATATGTATTTTAGCTGATTGAGGAGCACAGCTGCTATACTTCATTATATTAATTTTCAWTCAAAGCAACTAATAAGAAGTAATAGTGATAGCACTATTATATAGCACTATCCTGGGATAGGCAGCTCTGCAACTCTAAGTTGGCCCATGAAAGAACAAGATTTTGTGGTGTAATTGTATACTGTGTGTTGAATTTGATGGTATAATAACTTGAATTTTGGCAGTATATATGACACTTTTTTGCCTACAACTTAACAATTTAATAGACTACTATACTAGTAGTCTATTCTAATATTTCTCTTCTAATATTTCTGTTCACTTGGAAGGTAGTTTTAGCTCCAATAGAATACAAAAATTTATTAGCCAAATAATATTAGCSAAATAATTAGCCACTCTTGCATATTTTCATCATTGTACATAAAATATCAAAATTCTCTGTACCAAGAGAAAGAATAAAAAGGATCATTAAGCAGGAAAAAAAGGGGTAAATGCTTTCGATTTTAACAGGCTGCTAACAGGTTTATAAGGTAGTTACTTTGACAGGCTTGTGTATTGCTAAGCGGAAAAATATTCTTCTGTTAAAGGATGTCTTTCATAAGTAAGGGCTATATTTCATTTTTAGTTACCATGTATTCTTTTAATAAGTCTTTTGGGTTGTTGCGGATATGAAACAGGATGTTTAAAAGGAACTGACTTTTTTACTGTTTGCCCACAAACTAGAATACAGGTGATGTAGGTGATGATCAAAGGAGGATTATATGAGATTTGTCCAGCTTATGCCCAGTTCTTGGGGTGTGTGTATGTACTTATAAACATAGAGATACTATTTCTTAACGTGTTTATAAGATGTGCATACAGTTTTTAACTGTTGAGAATACTTTCACAGGATCAGCACTTAGTTGGTAGAAGTTAATACAGCTGCTATGTACATGTTGGCTGGCTTCTGGCTATGTAGGAGGAGTAATTCTCAAGCCTGTCTTTCTGCTGTTTGTAATTTAAATTAAGTAATTTAAATGTCATTACTTAAAGCTCATGTCTTTAGAATAAAATGCATGCTCTCCCAAAGTACTGTATTGACAGAGTAGGTACCCMCTAGAAACCAAATTGTAAAGAATTCAAGACAAATTAACTTGAATCTCACTTTTAGACTTCTCAGTTGTAATACTRAAATGTGTCAAGTAATTCTTTTTGTTTTCTGAGAGCTATTAAAAGTACTGACACCATCGCTAATATAATTAGTCTGATATATGAGTATCTTAGAGTTGGATTTTAAGACCTCTGACTTGCAAAGATTTCTTGTTCAGTATTAAAGAACAGTATGAAATTTAAATGTTTTAAATAACTGAGTAACGAAAGCATATCGGCAGTGCTGGATAGTTGAGTTGTAGCACCAAAGTTTGTTTTTTAACATGGTGTTCAGAGRTTCTCAGAAATGAATCATGAAGCAAATGCCTTTCAATTATAGAGAATACTGAGGAAAAACAAAGCTGCAAAGTATCTAAAGATGCTTCCCACAGGGCAAATGAAGGAGGAAAGTAAATTAGGATTGTCTTCAGCAGAAGGCTGGCTATTATGACAGTTTCTACTGGTCTACAGCACAATTTCTTTTGGGGTCCAAACTGAGCAGATGCAAATGACCAGTTTCAAGTACCCATGAGCTTGTCCTGTCTGTGGTGACAAAGTCTGCTGAGGGGCAGAGTTAAGAGCCTGGGTGTTTGCGTTGTGCAACTAGAGGCCTTGTAAACTTTTTTCTGCCCGTGACATGCTGTGGACATGCCCAGTTAAAATCTGTTCATACTAAAAAACTACTAAGGAGATGGCTAGAAAGAACATTGTGGGCAACAACATTCTCAAGTTAACTATCTTTAACGCAGCTCTAGGATGACAGATAAATCTTGTGTGTAAAACAATGTTCGCATTATGCTGAAGTGAAAGGTAACTAGTCAGAGCTGCAATAACTTAATATTTTTCAGAGGAGTTATAATTTCAAGTAGTCATATACACTTTCTATTTGAGAATGCGAAATGCAGGTCTTGCATATTCTGCAGGTAGCAAAAATCATTTTGTATTCAAGCAGACATTCAGACCCTCTCCCCTTCTGAAATATGCTTGTGGAGAAATGACCATCTTTGATTAAAGATCTGACATTACTCATGTACGTATTTTTCTTGGGGAACTTTGTTACATCTATTCACCAGCATTTTAGTTCAGTGACACCTTTCACTTTCCTCYTACCCTTTCTCTTTTACCTATCTGTGAGACCTTTGTGGTTTTCTTTTAATTTTGTCATTTGTGCCTTCTCTTGATGTTTGATGCACTTAAATTTCTCATTTGATTTGTCAGACAGGAAAAGTATTCAAAATGCCTTGCATGCATGCTAGACTAACTATATTTTCCAGCTTGCAATAGATTCATTACTTTTTTGAAGTGTACTGTGGCAAGATGGAAAAAAACTTAGTCTTGAAAGGCTGAGTTATTTGGATGCTTGTCTTTTATGTATTCTTACACAAGGTTACTCTTTCCTTGAATACCTAGATGGGTAAGCAACAGTGATTTTTTTTATACAGATGATATTCAACTGCTTACGAATGTGGGAAAAGATGCATAAATTCAAGCAGAAATCTGGCCACTGCATAACACAAGGAAAACGTACTGAATGATATACCTGGTAGACCTGATCGTGAGCTCTTTAAATGCTTGGAGACGTTGACGCTTATCAAGTAATGGATATGAATGTAAAATAGGGTTAACAGATGGGTACACAATAAATTTTTGTTTGTAAACAGGTGATTGAGTAATGGTATAATGTTTCATAAACCTGGTACAAACTCTAGGTAATCATGGTAATCTCGTGTAGGAAGAGTAGAACTGCCTGCAAGCCAGTAAAAAAAAAAAAAGATAACTGAGATCATTTGCCTTAAAATTTTTTTGGGTGAAATAAGATACAAATCTGAGTACTTCTCAAAGAAACGTTGTCCTAATTTGTGTGTGGGAATGAAATCTGTACAATTTGATTGTATTATGTGATCAGCTGTGTTCAGGAATATCTTCTACTTAATCTTGTCTGTAGCACTTAACTACACATTTAAGTACTTAAGTACACRTTTGACTCAAAGGTTTTTGCATGTGCATACTCACAAATTTAACATAAGTTGGCTATGCAAGCATTCCTTTATTGTGTAAAATTAAAAATTCTTGCTCTCTTCCTTTGAATGTTAGTGAGACTTCAAAGAGCATTTTTGAGAAGAGTAAGGAAAAAGCATAAGCTGCCTGAATTAGACCTGTGTCTCAGTACATAAGTTGTTCCTGAGTGCTTTGATTGAGATCTTATTTAGAGGTAAGTTCACATAGAGCTTTTTTCTGTAACAGTTAACTGTTCAAATATTCATATTGCCAAGAGTCTAAAGTACTTAAGTTCCATACTTAGGAAATTATTTTCTGATTCATGAATACTTGCACAAGGTCAAATATTGGTTAGTAAAGAGTAGATCATGGAACAGACCATTGATTGGTTTCTAATGTGGGATATGGTAGAACAGCAGAATAAAGTCCTAACCCAGATTTTTTTCTTGTTTCTCAGCTATCTGATTAAAGTTTACTTTAGAGAATTCCTGACATGGTCTAGTTAAAAAGATAAAACTGTTTTAAAGTATCATAGCTGATATAAACTTAAATTAAGAAATTCAGTAAGCTGCATTTATGAGTGACTGACTGCTCCTTCTTGTTTTAGGCTATGCATTCAGCCTCTGCCAGGTTGCTGACTTGCAGGAAGTCYAGGTGCCAGATTTTTCTCAAATAGATTCCTGAGTCCTTGCAGAGCAAGCCACCTGTCTGCAGCCCTAATTCCAATGTAGGTAACTAATCCCATGTGCACCCTGTACATGCAACTGAAATGCTGCAATAGTAAATAGACATGTGGAAACATTGATTTTTCTCCATATTTGAAATAGATAATTAAGCTCTGTATGCAAACTGTCTTAATTGTTAGATGTACACATACATTTCACTACTGAAGGTATAATCAGGTATATATGTAGATGTCCTGAGAAATTTGTGATATATAGCTAATATAAGCATGTTACTTCAAAATATGGTGTGCTGGACATAATTAATAGCATTTATTTCCCTAGGGTTAAAAATAGAAGACAAAGCTGAGTGTAGTGAACACCTCTTATAGTACTGAGTTCTCTATTTTAGAGAAATAACAAGTATTGTCTTTCCTGTGCACCTGATCTGTGCTGCAGACCTGGCTGTATCCATTCACTTACGTTATAGCCATATGTCCTGCATAAGCAAAGAATACCCCTGCAGGATAGCCAAGGTAGAGTTTTGAGAACTCTTCTTTCAAAGTCTAAAGAAATCGGTGTATTGCTCAAGTGGTAGGCACATATCAGTCAAGAAATAGAGGGAGCTGCAAATTAAGATAGCTTTATCTAATATTATTTCTTAATAGGGTCTTTAACCATGCTGTCTAAAGATGAGGTAAGAGAAGTTACTTGACTGAAGTAAAAGCACTAAAAAAATTTAGCATATATGAAGTTGAATTTATAAATCAAGTTTYGGACAACTAGGTGAACTGCACATGCATCCTGCTTGAGCAGTGCCTTCTGTATGCTTGTACCTAAAACTCAGCACATTCTTTTATTACTTGATGTAGTCTTAGTTTGGATGTAGGTTTTTTTTGCTCCCTGAATGTGTTCCTCTTCACATCTTATTGGGGTATCCAGTTCACTCTTGCAATGGAACCAGAGATGCCTCTAAGTAGCAGTATGAGCTATATGTTCCTGTGCCTTTGGAGAGGGCCTCATAGCCTGAAGTAGTATGCTTCCTTTCTTGTTTCAGGACATGAATGACTGCAGAAACTAGAGGGGAATGTTTTCTTCTGTATGTCTGCCCAGTGCTATGGGGAACTGGAGAGATGGTATATGGTGGACTACTTCATTGTTGCTAGAAGCTAATTTAACTGTTAATGTAAAGTTTGTTCTGAACATAATTACATATTGGCAAGTACAAATTCCTTCTAATTGTATTTCATGAGACTACTTAATCTTCACAAGGACACTGAGTCTGTTCAATGTCATTAGCAGTGACTCATCATGAGGAATAAAATAAAACTGCATTTCTGGTGGTGTCTGAGGAAGTAAATAGGTCTTGAAAGGTACACAGTTAAAATCAATCTCTTTTTCTGGGCACTTGAAAAAAAGATTATTTCACTTTGACACCATATATGGAAATAATTTATGATAAAGCTTATTTTTGTTTTGATATTAGAACAGTAGGCATATTCCTATAGTACTTAATTGCTTTTCCTGCTGTTTTATTTATTTTTGTAGACATGAGGATATGTGCATAAGAGAAAATAAAGAACTTGATTTGCAGCAAATATAGTAGGTTTCATAAATCAGTTGACTATTTTATATTCCCAAGAGTTCTAATCACTTGGATGATGATACCATGAAGACTTCATATAGTTTAAAATGATTTTTCTAGATTTATTGGTTGTTTAAGTATTCACTAATTGCTCAGCTCTGAGATGCACTTTTTGAGTATATATTGTAGACTTAGAAAAAAATATATGCTGTTGTATGAGAAAGATGCCCTGTTAAACCTCCATTGAGTGTTGTAGTTAGAAAAGTKATTCTAAATTGAGGCAAAAGATAAATTGAAGTCAAAAGTTCAGGTTTTGGCTAACTCAAAATTCTGAGGTAGTTCAAGAATACAAGTGTGTTGTACTAAGTTGCAATGCTTCTCTGAATGGAAAAATGAAAAATACGTAGTGCTTCCATAGAGAGTTTGGAGAAGTGTTGGGTAAGTATGGCAGCTATATGATGTTTTCTGGAAGACCTTATAGCAGCTGAAAAGTAATGTATTAACTGGTACACTCACATTAATTCATTAGATACATGTTTGTGACTCAAGTTTAACACCTCCAATAAAAAAAATTGTAAGTAAAAATCATACTTAATATTTCTGCTATTTGGAATATTTGTAATTACAACTGAGTCACTAACTTGAAAGTTCATTTCACTGAAAGAAACTATGGAAAGATTTTTGCCTTTATAGTGTATATTCAGTATTGATCTGTTTGGTGATTACAGATTTTATTCCATCCACCATCTACAGTACTTGACTAGTTTAGCTCCAATTTAGAGGCACATGAAGTAACTCTAGAATCTTCCCAGACAGTTCTGTACAAGAATATGATGGAAAGCTAAATGGCAGCCTTATGCAGTGAGTTAAATGAGATGAAAACAATATTCCCACTTTAATTTGACAAGCCATGTGACTGGTGAGGAAGTTCTAAAGATTGAGCCAATACTGTGTGCAGAGCTGAGATGTTTACAAGAGTTTTGCAAAATTATTCACAGCCTTGGAAGACAAAACCCTGGTTTGGAGTCATGTAGCTTGAGGCACTTGTGAAACAGTATTGCAAATCATTGTAACTATATTTTTTGTCTATTGACTTTCATGAAGGCCATAGGTRTATAGGAATTAACATATTTTGATGGAATGGTATTTAGGTCAATAGAATCAAACATATACTTTCATGTTCCAGATATAGCCACATGAAATTTCATGAAGATTTTAAAGCGAACAAAGAAAAAGTAGTGATGGCACGAGTAGCTATGATTGTGTATGCCCTACTTTGAAATATATTTGCTACTTGGACACGGGCCTGTAAGAAGCTGCAGAATGGATATTTTGTTTCCTGTTTCAGTGATGCTTTTTTGCCTCAATTTCCTTTATGAAGCACTAATTAGAATGTTAGCACATGGCTTGCTCTTTGAAYGCAGAAAACATAACACTTAGCACTGGGGATTTAAGATCTTAATTCAGTTCTCTGGTATATATGTTTTGGAATAAACTCTCTAATGACATGATCGTGCTTGTGCTTTCTTTCTCCTGTCTCTCTTTGAGAAGGCCTCAACCTCATTCACTGCATAGACAGTTTGGACAGGATGAGTCAGACCTGCTCAGTAAACAAACAGAATATTAGATTTTTTTCTTTCCTGTGCTAAAAAGAAAGTGGTATCACCAACATCTAAACGCATCTTTCTGACTTTGTGGGAATGTTTTTCAAGAGGGTCTTGAACTTGGTATAATGGACTGCTTGCTGTAAAACATTCAGTATGTTTAAAAAAGTCCACTGCCTCAGACTGATAAATACAATAGATAAGTCATGAGTCATACAGACTGTTAATTAAAAAATAAGAGAATSCAGAGACAATTGCCTTGGTATGAGAATAAAAAAATCAGGCTAAAATCTAGAAGGTAGGGTTGAAATGTTTGGAAAAATGACAGAAGAATACCTATTGTGTTCATAGATGTTTTGATTGAAAACAAGGTGAAAACATTTAGTATAATCTAAACATTTGTATATACTTATGTACCATATTTATCACTTGAAGTGCTTGAGTCTCTTTGGTATTCTTTTGCAGTGGCATATGGAGTGATAAATGTGTCAGTTTGTCAATTCTGCCCTTTATGTTCTAATTAAAGGAGAATCAGCCCACTTTCATGACTGGTTCCCAGAAGGAGGGATGATGAAATTTTTGAAAGTGAGTTGGAAGCTTCTCTCACTCTCCTACACAAGACTGTAGAGAACAGAATCTCTTCCATAAGTTTCTGTAGAGGTAGGAATCTTGTAATGAGAGAATCTTGGTAGCAAAATATCACAGTTTACTTATGAGAGTAAACAATGAAAGAATTCTTATGCTTTCCTATTAATGGTTGTATTTTGGATAAGCAAAATTCAGAGCCTGTTGTGGATACATTTGGCAGCTGAATAGTCCTTCCAATTGAAATAATTCTCTACTTTTGTTCCAGGATTTTAGCATATGGAAGCGGTAAATTATATTGAGATTCCTCAATTAAGTCCTTATTACTGCAGTTTATTCAGTCACAGCATCATAGATATTTACATATTCTTGACCACCCATCCTGAAGGTTTGGTCTTGCTGTTTATTGTAGAGGCTTATCATGGTTGAAGCTGGCACTTTGTATGAAATTACCTGTTAAGGTAAGGGACCCAAACCTATGTCTTGAGTAAAGACATAGGAGCTACAATAGGGAGATGATTACTGCTTTTAACTTCTACTATTTCTCCTTCCAAAACTTGGGAGATGAGAAGAGAGTTCATTTTTAAGATATAACTTGTCTGGTTATTTCAGGTCACCAGAGCCCTGGAGGAGGCAATTTTTGTGTAAGGTGCTGTTTTTTAATTGTGATGAATTACAACTGTCAAAACACTGATTAATAGAGAAGAATCTTTTCAGTTTTTTGGTTGAAATTTCCTGTTTTTTCTTCCCCAGCCCCCAAATACAATAGGTTCGGTAAAGTACCTGTTGCAGCAAGGGGATTGTAGGGAAAATTAATACAGTACAATGAACAGATAATCACAAGGAACAGTATTTGAGGTCTCCATGGCAATGAATAGCAGGAAAGAAAGGAAAGCACCTTGCTGAGAACAGGATTTAAGCGCTCTGCATGTCAGACTAGACTAGTGCTTTTTATTGTGGAAATGGAGAAAAATCTACTGAAATAGGTCAGTGGGCTTTGTAAAGATGTGGTTTAAGTGATTAAAGGTTTTCAGTATGAGTATGAGACCTCTCATGGGAGTATGATCCATAAGCTGTAGATATGGATAGCATGAAAGGACTTCACTTGCACACTGGTGACTTATATGTAGAGGGAAGCTTGTGCTGCAGATGTTASCCTCCAACAACCGTAATACAGGACCACATAGTCAATTGAGTGTAATGAGTAATGCTTGTGCCCAACCATGATTAGTGCTTTCAAGCATTTTTTTTAACTTTAAGCACTTATCTCTTACTGGATGATAAATGACAGTTGGATCAATGACCTCCAAGCTAACAGTCAGTCATGGATTTTCCAGGTGTGTAGGAATCGGAAATTTGGCTTAATAGGTGTACTTATAATGCTTAATGTCTGTAACTGAAAGGTTCCTAAATATTGTTTTTACTAGATGAGGTTCTTGCAATTCAGTCTCAAGTGGCATGCAGTGTGGGAGGGAAATGAGTGAAGCAGTGTGGAACAATTGTGACTGGCACAAAAAAAAAAGATTAAATGTCAGTGGAGCTCCCAAGATTCAGAATTTCTCTTGTGAGGTTTCAGTGCATCTTTTAAGAAGTACAGTTGAGTTTTCAAACTTAAATTGTCTAGTACTCATATTTGCTAAGAAAAGATTACAAATTAAAAGTTAACCAAGACTGTTTGGGGCAAGAGCTTTCCTTTGAAAAATGGGAGGTATGAAGTAATGAGTTGATGTGTTGTATTTAAGCATGGAGAACTTCTAAGACAAACTAAAAGCTCTAGATAACCTACTTTTCCCATGTTRGAGCTAAGCATGGCTTTGCCATCTGTCAGTCCTTCCCACAAATAATCAAATTGAGAAGTCTGTTGTGACAGCCTTAGTTTCTGCTTCTTTCCATATGTTTATTGCATGAAACCACACATTTAAAAGATTTCCAAGGTGACTGTGGCTGAATTACAGGGAATGCTTCTAGTAAGCAGGAATATATTTTCTTCCTCACTTGGAAAGAGCATGGGATAGGTGTTCATACAGAAGTCACCATGAATTGGGAGCACTGCTCCTACCCCGTGATACTTTGGACGTAGTTTATTGACCCTGTTTCCATCTTTGAAAAGAATATGCTCTTAGTGGCATTATCTCGATCTAGCAATTTTATTGTAATGGGTTTGTTTGAACAGGCCTTAACAGTCCACAAACAACTGTGACAGATAAGACTTGGCTTTGGCTTGGGGTGTTCTTAAGGTTGGGGGAGACTTTTTTCAAGTATAACACAATCCTTTTGTCTTGTATTTCCTTCATAAGACAATGTATGGCTGTGTTTAGCTTGGAAAGATTCAGAGAAATGGGCTTAATGTTTTTCAGTAAAACATGAACATGTTTTAATTGTGGYTAACTCAAGTCTTCAGATGTGTTCTAGAAATCTCTTTGAATGCTGGTTTATAATTTCTGTTAGGAAGCTCTCAGGGTTTAGGTAAATGGAGACRTAGGTACTAGGTTATATGAATTTAAGAGCTTGCCATTAAATAATATTGAATAAAGCTGATGCATGAATTTTGGCTATATACTAATTTTTCTTTTAAGACTGTGCAGTTTCCCCTGAATTGAAGGAGCATAAATGTCAGGTGTATTTATACCTGTCTCTTCATCTGTTTCCATGTGCACAGTGTTCTTGACCCCAACACCAGTTCTGTGGTTCCTCTCCACTGCTTCCTTCTACTATAGGTACCGTAGCTTGGCCACCTTAAAGCCTGGATTG